TCTGTGTGTGGAGAAACGTGCTGACATTTTGCCTGGCAGTAACCTGTCTGCGCCTCAGGCGGATGCTGCTGTTTACTCTCTGAAATGAAGACGGGAGGAAAGCGAGTCGTTTTCAGACACTAAATTTCCTGGAAGCTGATGACAAACTGGCAGAAAGCAGAGGAGCAGAAACGCGGCAGAACGAGGAGAGTCGCAGCGACGGCTGCCTGCAGGCCACAGAATCAATCCAACCCATCTGAAAATGTCTGGAAACATTTTCCAGGTCCCATTATTTCATGTTAAAGATGCCGCGCCCCGCCGCGGCTCCTCACAGAAACACAATTATTTTCTGTGTCTAACTTTTGAACATCACGACGGGTTCAGGCAGCGATTTGAAAGTCAAATCTACCAGCGACGTTCTGGTTGCTTCTGAAGCAAACACTTCATCTTTCACATCTTTCTTCCTCCTGCCTGCTTTTGTAACCTTTAATGTCTGGGCCTCCTCTTCCTCTCTCCTCCTCTCCTCTTCACAGCCATCTGCTTTCCTCCCTAATCCGCGTCGCTCCGTCTCCCTCATCAAAGAATCGTTTAAGAGCTAATTGTGATCTGCTGCTATGGCCGCTCATGTCATTCTGCTAATTGAAGGGAGATTTCTCCTTCAGCATCGGACAGAAATCTCTTCAATAAGCACCAAGATGACGGGAAACTGGGGAGAGAAACTGGAACAATCCGTCACCCGGTGATGGCTACATGTCCACTAAGTGCTGACGTCATGAAGCTCTGGTTAGATATTGATTTATTGGGACGTTATTGGCACCGACCTCACTGAGGAAACATCAGCAATCTTGTTTGGTTCATTCTGCAGTCATGTTTTCATGTTTTGATGTCAAATCTTGTTCTGCTAACGTGCTAACAGCAGAGCTAATCAGCTAAATTTAGCAGTTTGGCCCTTTTGCTTACTTTGAGGACTTAGTTTCCCTAAAACAAGTCAGAATAAAGAGTTTAGTGTCTCCTATTTATTTTGTGACGTCATAATTTAATTGTTGATTTATGTTTCAGACGGTCATTTATTGGCTTTAAAGCTTCCATAAAATAAAATGCTGAATCATTCATAACAATAAGAATGTAATTACAGATATCTTCATTTTCTAATACGTCTTGTCGTAAACCACGTTCAGATATTTGGAATGTGAACGTTGTAAAGCTGATTTTATGGTAAAATGGCCTGCCATACACAGGAAGGAGTGCATCCTCTGTCTGTAGCAGGTTTTTGTTTTTTCTGCCTGTTGACCTGATTAGAAGTGGAACCAGGCCTCAGATCTGCCCCCCTTCCTTAATTGCCCCTCTGCTCTTCCCCCGCGGCCCGCTCAGCCTCCCCTCTGTCGGCCCACTCCTCCGTCCCCCCGGACGCCTCTGGAAGGTCACTTTATTGGATTTGAGGCAACTAATGATCTCTTGGATTCACCACTTGTTCTCCTGCTGGAACAAATGACCAATTATGGTTTCTGTGTTACGAACAAACGTCCTGCTGGGCCTCACCAGTCATTTCTGCTGTACATTCAGTTTCCATGGGCAGTAAAACCCTCGTAATTAAGGGAAAGGAGCTCAAAGCGAAACTCCTTGACATTTTTACCTTTCATTGAATCTCTGAGGCAGAATCTGCCTGGAAATCTCCTCCACCGCAGCCGGTTGTTACGTTTCATTACGTTTAAACCCGTTGACTGCAGCACCTGGAAAAGCATCAGCAATGTTCCCCAAAGTCTCAACAGATTTCTGTTTGCAGATGAATCTACAGCTTACCGTAGATATGTATTAATAAACGTTTTCCATTTCCAGGTCTGAATTTCAACCAAATCCATCCAGGATCTTACACAGCAGTGACATCATCCAGGCTTGTCCACCGATCTTGGTGTATGAAAACTTTCTGATCATGAAATTATATTCACAGATGATTATTTGTAAAACCTATTGAATTCGTCTATCCTGGTTACAGAAACGTCCCAGTTCGTGGAGTTTGTTGTTGTAATTTAACAGGAAATAAAAAGCCTGAAGGGAGTGAGTCCTTTTGGAAAGCTCTGTATAGAAACGAAATGAACTGTAGCAGGCTAACAGGTCAGCTGCACTCATCGTACACATTAGCTAAAGTGCTACACCAACATGCTGTTAAGCTAATGCTAAAGCTGAATACACATGGATGTGGTCATGCTAAACAATATACCAACACAGAATTAAGCAGAAGCTAATGCTAAATCTGCTACATCAATGCGGCATTTAGCTAAAGCGCTATTCCAACATGACACACAGTGGAAGCTAATGCTAAAACATGATACAAACACAGGGTTTAACAGAAGCTAATGCTAAAACACTAAATTCCACCATGTGTCACATTGTGCTAATGCATAGCCTTCAACAGAGTCAAATTTAGCGCACCGATCTTCACGGTTAGCGCTTCAGGAAATGATTCTTTGGATCAGATCTTTCATGGTTTCAGTGGCTGAGTTTTTCTAACTGTTGCTGATTGAGCCTAATTAACGCCTTCAGTCACAAACCAAGCAGGAGATAAACAGATTTTATGCCGTTTAGAACTAGCAATACATTCTGAGTATGGCGGTAAAGTTAGCTCCATAATTAGCGCATTAGCTGATCAGTGGAAGTGTGCCCACCACTGCAAATTAAGAGCCATGTGTGACATTAAAACACAGAAGGTTAGTTAGAGGATGTTTTAAAGAAGGTTACTGATGTTTGACGTTACCAGTCAGTTTAATCAGGCTTCATGAGGACGAGTCTGGGACTTTTAAAGGTAAAAAGGCATAAAATTAAATGGCAAACTAGGACTCATTTTAAAAATAACCCTTGGCAGGAATGACAGATCAATCAGATCTTTAAAGCTAAATATCTCCTGACCGGCTGAGGAGAACCAGATCTGTTCTGCTGAACCGCGCCGAGGTGATTGTTTGTCTCTGTGTGTTTCTGCCTCGGCCGCCGTTTCACCGCCGAGCCGCCTGGCTTCAGACTCATTCACCTGCCTCCTGAGCAGGTTTGATCCCAGTAGGAGGTCTGGTAGCGGCTCGGCAGGAGACACTGTTCCCCCCGCCGCCGCAGTCCTCACCCACAATCCTCGGCTGCAGCGTCGCTCCTTCGCTCACAGTGATAAACTAGATTTATAGTTACAGCAGCAAAGCAGACTCACTGAGTGTGTTAACTTTATCTTCAAGGACAGGGAGGCAACGAGGAGCTAAAGAGTAATGAGTCGACTGTGAGCGCGGATCGGCCGCGAAAAAGGTCACATTTTACAGAGATAAGAGGGACTGGAGCTGGGAGACGCTAACTGACAGAGGAAGGAATAAATATCAGGCTTTACAGCTGACTGCTCAGCACACACACACCACACACACACCACACACACCACACACACACCACACACACACCACACACACGCTTCCTGGGCAGAAGATGCTCACAACAACAAACTGTTGGTGTGGATTTACAAGCCTCGCTTATGCTTGTTCACTTGATTTTAGTAAATTAAATTTACTAATGTTTTTCCCCCTGATGGTCCAGTCGACCCGGTTCTACTGGAACCAGAACATCTGCTCCACCTCCAGCTGCTCTGAGTCAAACCAACCTGCTCCCCTCCTGGCCTGTGGGGGCGCTGCACCAAGAACCACCGGAGGAAAGGACACAACAACCTCTGAAGACACTGAGAGCAACTTCCTTCTTCACCAGATGGAAACAAGATGGAGGATTTTAGCGGTTGGAGGATTTCTCTTTAGGCTAAAGACCAGGAGCCATTTCTGCTGCTAGCGCTAGGCTAGCACGTTAGCGTTGGTTGTATTTACCCAGAATGCCCTGCGCTGTAGTCCACTTCCTGTTTTTGGGGCTGACTCTGGTCCACTTGGCGTTGACATTCAAATTGAACCAGACCGAGGTTTGGAGGACCAGAGGTCAAAGTTCAAGTAGCATTCATACCGCCAAAAAACTAACTGGAATTTGTAGGCAAATGGACTGGAGTCGGATTGAAGTGGACTGAACAGGACAGGTGGGAAAGATTCACCATTTCGTCTCATCCCTTGCTTGGTGCCAACTTGTCTCGGGGAACTTATGAGGAGCTCGACCCGAATACCAGAGAACTCAGACTGAACAGAATGCAGCCTTAGGATCAGAAACAGAACCCGTCTTCCGACATGAAGTAGGCTAAAGATCTTCAAAACCCAAAGTCTCTGATGTCCATCGATCTGGAAACGGTCCCAGAACCTTCTCTAGGGTTCTGGGACTCCAGAGAACCTCATTTGATCCAGGAACCACACCAGAACCAGAACCTTCTGAAAAAATTAAAAAGCTATATGAAGGTATGCAGTGGCTTCGTCAAAGTCCAGACTTAAATCTGGTTGGGATGCTGAATTGTAAACTTTAACAGATTGTTTATGGAAAATGCTTCAAAGTGTCTGAATTGAATTAATTCTCTAAAGAATCAGTCAAAGTTCCTCCGCTGTGATGCTAAATATTCTCGCTCTGCTCAAAGGAAAGAAAACCAGCAAGGGGCTTTAAGGGGCAATTCCTTTTCCACCTCAGGCTAGGTCGGCTTGGTAAGTTTAAATTAAATCTGTAGGGGGTAAAAACTTTACCAAGAATGAATTTTAAAAACTGCTAAGGTTTAATAGCTAACCTGATCATTACTGCATTTTAAAGTCTCAGAAAGTCTCAGGCGGCTCGGTTCTCTGAATTTTCTCTCCCTCTGAGACATTTTAATCTTCCTAAGAGGAAAGTAAAGATGCATCCTGGCTTTTCCTCAGATTTCACTCCTCCAGGATCAGAACCGGCCTCTCCCTGCAGGCGCTGCAGGAGCTGTGCTCCCCGTTTGGCCAGTTTGATAAGAAGAAGCTGACTAAAAGTTAAAATGCATCCGGTCTGTTATCTGCTCTGTCTCTGTTCAGTGCATTTCATGTTTTTATGTGATTTGCTCTTCAGCAGCTCGTTGGCATTGAACTTCAGTCTATTTTTGTGTTTTTCTCTCCCACCAGCTGCCAAGTACAACGGAGAAATCTACAACAAGCGGCGGCTGATGGTGGAGCTGCCGACGAAAGGCGGCCTTCCTCTCCAACCGATGGGAAACTCTCGGAGCGCCATGGGCAACCTGTCGATGACGCCGCCGATGGCCGCCAACGCCATGCCGTCAAACCCCCTGACCTCTAACCCCTTGAACTCCTCCATGACACAGATGGCTTCAATGGCCCCAATGGCTTCAATGGCCCCAATGGCATCCATGGCCCCAATGGCATCAATGGCATCAATGGCTTCAATGACAGCGATGACGTCCATGCCGCAGATGACCTCACTCTCCCCAATGCCCTCCATAACCCCCATGACCTCTTTAGGTCCACTGACTCCGGAGCCTGTGGCCACCTACGTGACGGAGATGCCCAGCATCTCGTCCGTCTCCACCCTGCCGACGGAGCGGCACATTGCGGGCGGCAGCGGCGGACTCAAGCCCAACGGCCAAAAGTCCAAAGGCGGCCATGCGGCCCACAGCTCCTACAGCTCCCACACACACACCCACACCTACAGTAGCAAGGCGCCAGGACTCGGGGCTTCTTCCCTGGCGCACATGGTGGGGACGATGCCAAGCGGCATGTCCAGGGCCGTCGAGACCGCCTTTGGCTCGAGCTCGGCCACCATGGGCCGGCCGTTTGCCTACAGCTCCAACACCATCGCTGGGCACGCGGTGGGCTTTGGCATAAAGGGCTGGGAAGGGACAGAGACGGTGGGCAGGAGAAAGAGCTACGGGCACAAGAGGCCCCAGTGCACGGTGCTGGAGCCCAACCAGCTGCACGGCTCCCGGGGCCAGAGCCACAGCCAGCACTTCCTGCCCACGCAGCCCTACTTTGTGACCAACAGCAAGACGGAGGTGACTGTGTGAGAGCGAGAGGAGCGGAGACGCAAATAATCTCTGTTTGGAGACGCCACCTCCTGGGGAGCTCCGGAGGAGGCGGAGCTTCGTCGTCTGAGTGAAAGTTGCCTTGAAGTCAGAGCCAACCAATCAGATCACGCTTCAGATGCTGACAACAAACAATACGTACCTGAGGCCATGTTTGTACATTTGTGCCGATGTTCGAGTTGTCTCCTCCTCTCTGACGATGTCCAACGTTAGAGAGTCAGAAACCAAACCTGATAGCAATATCGCAGATGAAGAGCGATGTCATGGTAACGGAGAAAAACCGAGTTATTACCCAGAAGCCTTCAGGAGAGGCTTCCTCAACGAAACACCAAACGGTCTGGAGGAAAAACGTTCGCTCATGATTACAACCGTTTCTCCTGAGAGCTTTGAAGCAGAAGCACACAGTGGTGATGATGATGATGATGATGATGATGATGATGATGATGATGATGATGATGATGATTGTGGGATTCAGATTTGAGGTAGATGCAGCAAAAACAGAAAAATTCAAACGGTTTTTAAATCTGATTGGGTCAATCTGAGATTAAATCCTCTTAATCCCTGAAATCCTTCAGTTTTAATAATCTGGCAGCTATTTTAATACGATAACTAACCAACTAAACAGGATGAATGTTTTCAACCATAATGACCTAGTCAAAGTTTATTTATGGAGAATCTTTAAAAACAACCGAAGCTGACCAACCGTGGTTAACGAAGACAGAATATCGAACAAAAATGGATGAAAAGTATAAAATACGGAATCTGTACAGAGTAAAAGAACAGAAATAAAATGGAGTCATTCTCAACCGAGATTAAAATCTACGGAGAAACACTGAGACTCTGATCTGCAGGCATCAGGGGAAAAACCAACAGGAGAAAATACATCAGATAAAATCTGTTGATCAATAATAACAGGTTAATATGTAAACAGACCTATAACTAACTTTCCCAGAAGAATATCTGATGCTTTCAGACTTTCACTAAATTTACACTATTAGTTGAATTAAGAAGCAATTTTAAATAATAAGAATAAAGTTGTAATATTAGCAGAATAACGTTAACGCCATGCTATGCGGGCGCCACGCTATGCGGGCGCCACGCTATGCGGGCGCCACGCTAAGCGGGCGCCACGCTATGCGGGCGCCACGCTAAGCGGGCGCTGTAATAAGCACCGTGGGACCAAATGTCTAAAGAACGAGTTTAAAGTGAAGCTTCTCGCCTGAAACATTTTAAACCAGGGACCAAACATAAATTTAAACCTTAAATTGCTTCAAAGATTCATTTTCATACGGCTGGGCTCATTTTGTGCAAAAACTATAAAATATTTTTAAAGAATTGTCCTAACCTTTCTAAAGGTCTTATTTTTCTATCAGATCATTCTCTGAACTCCAGTTTTACCCACAGAGAGAGAGAAAAACCATCTGGAAAAATCTATGTGGGTTAAATGACTCAAATATAAAAATAAACCCGTGAGTGTGACAAATAGGCCAAATCTTCGAAGGGCTTCTTCAAGCCTGTTTGCATGTTTCCGTTTTAGCTCGGCAACTCCGGCTGCTGCTCCGTGGTTAAAGCAGGAGAAAAGTTCAGGTGAGAAGCAGAAGCACAAACAGCTGCTGCTGCTGCTGCTGCTGCTGCTGCTGCTGCTGCTGCTGCTGCGCAGACAGCTGCTGCTGCTGCTGCTGCTGCGCAGACTGCTGCTGCTGCTGCTGCTACTGCCTTCTGAAGAAACGCACCAAAAAAAGTCAGAGCCAGGAGGAGGGACTTAGCGCTGTCAATCACCCCATGTATTCGCTGCTAAATGTGCTAGTGGTGCAGAAACAACTCACTGTTACAGGAAAGCTGTTCATCTGCTATCATCTGTGGCGATGCTAACTAGCATTAGCATTCACAACATTCATGATGTGTATATGGCCATGATTGACAGCGCTAGGCCCCCCCCCCTGAATCTGATTGGTTGTTTTTAGTTAGCACTGGGAGACAAAGGAAACGGATTAATCCACAGATTGTCTCAGATTAAACTCACGTTTCAACAAATATAAAAAAACATTTTATAAACGTTACATCACTTTAAAACGACTGCAGAGCGAAAACCAGATTCACAGTGAGTGGAACCAGAGGGGGTTTTGTGTTTGCCCCCGGCAGCAGGGTTTTATAGCTCGGACCTTCCAGAACTTTCTCCCTCCTGATCCATTTCTGTTCATCGTTTCTCCTTTTATTCAGAGAAATATGAGAAACTACCTGAGAAACGTTGTGAGCTAAAAAAAATGTAATTTTATTTCACTTTTGTACAACTTCCTGTCCCTTTGAACACGATGTCGACTTTGCTTCGACGGCGGTGAGAGAGTCCATCTTTAATATCCAGTTACTGAAAACATCCAAACCAATCAAAACTAAATGAATCCAGTTCAGATCAAACTGAGGGAAATTCAGATTTAACTCCAAACTGGCTAAGATTCTCCAAACATTCATTCGGGTGAAGCTACTGCAGGAATCTGAGAAGTTTTAATCAAACTGCAGAGAAAATGTAACTTTTGACTCAAACAAACAACATGAGAAACGAGCTGCTGTTGCTAGACGACGGAGACACGGAGCGATAATATTTCACTTTTTGCTGCTTCTCGTTAAAATTCATCTGGGCTTTCTGTGGGAATCCATCTTCATCTTCTTCTACATCCACACTCAGTCAGAACTCGATGAATCTAATTCAGACCAGACTGTGAGAACGTTTCTCTGCAGGTCAGATTTTCAAAATAAAAGCATTCATTTCCTTCAGCTACTCTTTGCCTCCATTTGGCATCAAAAAGGTGAAACTTTTTAATCAAACTGTTGTTCTATTGTAAGCTTTGACTCATGATGCAGCCACCACCATGCTTTAATGTTGTTTCAGGGCGTTTCAGAGCAGAAACATGAAAAACAGGCTGCTGTTCCCATGGCAGCTGCCTGTTATGTAATACAGAGACACCAGAGATGTTAAAACACAAAGAAAGTTGTTTTCTTTGTCGTTTCTGTTCATTCAGCTGCGTAAATCCATCTGCAGCTTCCAAACCCAAACAGAGCAAAGTTAATCTACGAATCTCTGATCCTTGGGTTTATTTCCTGTTTTCCTGACGGATCGCAGCTCAGTTTGCTCCAGACGGAGCGGAAAGGTCAGAGGTCGCTGGATGTGCATGATCAGAACCAACTGACTGCAGGCAGCCAGGCGGAAACCTGCAGACGTTTAGTTGCTGCGTCGTAACGCCAGATTACGGAGAGCGGGAAGCAAAGTGGGCCATCATTGCTCACAATTAGGGACCAAAACAAACCGGGTGGAACGCCGGGATCTGCCGGATGGGTCAGAACCACAGCTGAGTGGCTTCTGGAACCAGCCATGTCTGACGGCGTTCATCACTCAGACGTGAAACGATGCTCAGGTAGAAAAGACGCCGGCATGAAGCCAACAACGGGGACATTTCCCTCCCAGAAGCTTTTTATTATTCATCTTCCTTCAGTTTCTTCTCCTCCATTTCATCCTTCAGATCAACCAGCACAAACATCAGCCGACCAAAATACTGGTTAGCATTATGTAGCATTTAATCCTTGATGGTTTCTATCAATAGCGTCACAGAAACAAGTTAATCTGAAGCTAATTTTAGCCGTTTGGGCTAATTAATTTTGGGTCATCAAAATGAATCCGTATTTAACCTTCTGATACATCAACGTCGGGGATTAACTTTATATTCCCCTAAAATTTACATTTGGTTTAAATTAAAGCCAAAAATTGTTCTAAAGCAGAACAGCAGGTCACAAAGATTCTGCTAATATGAAAAGATGAACAAAAATCTGCGATCAGGAATGTGTTTTTAACTCATTTTATGATTCATTTTAGGGGATAAATCATTTCATAAATGTTCTGTGTTGATTCTGTGGAACCGCTCTTCAAACCATGATTTTAAAGGATCAAAATAACCAAAATATAAAGTTCATCAGATTTACCAGAAGTGATGCTTCATGATGAATCTAAATTCAACGTTTTGTTCTGAAAATGTTAAGTTTGGAAATGATTCATCTGCTAGTTAGCAACACTAAGTTTTCTCTTTAGCCCACTTAGCTTCCCCTAAATTAGTTCTTATGGATAAATTCTAAAGCACTAATACCAGAGCCAATTTCTCATTTAGCGCTTTAGCATTTTCCTAACTTCATAAACATTTAGCGCATAAAGCTCCTCCTGCAGCTGCAGGTCATCATCAGCGTCGGAGCAGGACTGATGTCCAGAGGCCTCATGACTTCGCTGCTCTAAAACAGGGTTCAGTTCATAACCAGCTTCAAATTATTCAGTGAATAAACCGTAACCTGTTTCTACGGTCCGACGTTTTTCAGATCAGTGAATTCCCAAACCGACCCTGCTGGTACCAGTTTGGTCAGCTCCTGTTTTGTTGGGTAATTTTCTGACTATTATCATATTTCTGCTGAAGATTTAAAAGCACGGATTGTTGCTGATGTCATCCTGAATCAGAAAACGATGTCTGTAAATATCTGTTTGTTGGGAATGAGTTACAATGCAGTCCAGCAACGAGCCGACGTACGGGTGCATTTTGTTTTAGAAAACATGATATGTACAGTTCATAAAAGGGCTCCAACACAAGATACACGTTCAAAAACATCCTGATTTATTTCCTGTTCTGCTGGAGATGCTGAGCTGTGCAGCAGAACCATCTCCGCCTGGGTTTCCGCTTCGTGTCGGGTTTATTTTTAAGCACAATGTTCCCGTTTCTCTCTGTCCAGTAGCGCTCGACGTGCTTCAACAGCGCCTGTTCCTGGGCGTACAGCTTTTACTGACGTCACAGGAAACGGATTCATCTGCAGATTTTCAAACGGATTCTTCAAGTACGGTCATGAAGAGAGATTTTAGGCAGCTAATATCTCACCTGCAACAGAAAACTCTCACTTTGTTTTCATTTAGTCCAAACTTGTCAAGTTGACCAGAATCAAGCAAATTAACTAGTTTGATATTTTTCTTTTTTTATTCATCGTAGATCCAAAACTTAAGAGATTTTGCACATTTGCTGTGTTAAATAAAATAAAAAGTTAGTTTTCAAATTCCTCTGGGCTCGATTGATTAAATTGATCGTTAGTTATAGGAACAGGATTTGGGTCACTTTCTTTCAAAATGCTAGCTAACATTTAGCCGAGTTTAATAAATTCAATAAAAGCTGATTTTGGTGCAGCAAAGTTGGTTTTTCAGTAAAAGTCTCTAGATGAATGTGATTCTATTTATTATGAAAACCTGTTTATAAACTAAAGTTATACTTTCTGTTGTACTTAAGATTTTCCATTGTAAGAAAATTGTAATTACAAGTGCAGAAAACAGCCCCGGACCGCCTGTTGGCCCCGGACTTAGTCTAAGCCCATCTTAGTTAAACCTGGAGTCTGAAGCTAACGGCTAATCTGACCGAAACCAAACTAGACTCTAAAACAGCTGCACTCTCTCAAACAGTCGTAGCGGTTCATGCCAACTGTCTTCATGCTTTGACTTTACAAACATTCATATAAAATTGATTCTAACATGTTAAAACCAAAATGATCACAGAGGTTTAAGTAAATGCTGTTTGGTTGATTTTTGTACTAACTTACTTTTAGGTAGTTTGACCAGAAACCGTTATGCGTTTCCCACAGGAAGACATTTAGTGGCGCACTGCCTCCTACATTAGTTTCCTATGTAAGTAATTAGCAGCTGTTTCTGTAGAAATATCTACTCAAGGCAAATATGACATTTTCAAAGGGTTCGTAATATTTAGTTAGCATCAACTGCTATGATACTGCTGAGAATGGAAATCTGCTAGCCGTTAGCTTTAGCCTCTGGGATGCAGAGAATTACCTGCTGCAGGTAAGATATTGACTGCTTATAATCTACTAGGAGCTCACTAAACCATCTAAACTATTTTTATTGAAGGATTTTTCCCATTATTTTTATTTATTTGCCATATGAGCGAAACCAGCCGTCGCTTAACGAGATTATCCATTTATATGAAACTGATTGACTCATTTTAGTGCTAAACATTCGTTACATACAAACTTCTATGAAATCCAACTTTCTATTTTTGATGTCCAGAGCAGTTTGTGGTATTTATGCATATGTGTATATGGAAACGTTCAGTACGGCCCCTACGCAGCATCTAAAGCATCTTTTCTCTGGTAGAGACCATCCCCACCATTGTTTGCACAGTAGCTTCTAATAATATGCAGCGTGACGCCCCATTGTCCTTCTACTGTTCACTGACTTTATAATTTGTGAGAGTAAGTTATGAAAAAGCTGTATTTTGGTACTTTACGATTATTGTAAAAAGTAAACTGAAATAAAATATAGCAGATGTATTGTTCCAGAAATATATTGCCACAGTGTTGCTATGACTGTTTTTAGTTTTCCTTTGGGCGGGCTTACAGGGACGTTTCTGCTCCACTGTTGTTCATTTGTCATCTAACAATATATTACGTTGTTATATATAAAACTTTCTTACGTGGCAATAAAAGACGACTTCTGTAAAAAATGATCTTCCTTTGGCTCCTCTTTGTTTCTCGGATCCGAAGAAAACGAAGGGAAACAACCACAAACTGACAGCACAGGAAACCCAAATAATTAACATTTTTGGTTTATATTAAAATGTCATACAGAGAAAAAATGGTGTCAAAATTTCACCTTTCTATTCATCCATTAATGAATGGCACAAAGCTAATTTTTAATTCACAAGCTAAATACTTAGCTTATTAAATATTTAGCTTGTGATTTAAATATTTAAGTCTGAGCTATATATTTAGTTTACATGTACTTAGTTTTTACCTAAATGTTTTTGATAAAAAGTTAAATATTTTCAAATAAAGTTAGATATTTAGGCCTGACCTAAATATTTTGTTTGGAAAAAGTAAACTGAAATAAAAGATTTTTATTTGAACTAAATATTTAATTTAGAACTAAATATTTAGTGTGTAAACAAAGTATTTAGCTTGTGACTTAAATGTTTAGTTTGGATCTATGATATTTATGAACAACAGGGTGAAAATATTACTTTTTTTTCTCTAAATATAACCCAAAACGTTGCTGTTAAGTTTTTGCAGTGTAACTTTACTAAGAGTGCTCCATAGAGACCATTGTTAGCACTAGCTTCGGTTTCATCACATGAAGTTTTATTTTTCATCTTATTCAGCTTTTTGTTAAATCATGTTTCTTACCAGGATGGGAATGTTTGCATATATTTTATGTTTTGGGTTTTTCTTATTTAAAATTTGCATTTCTTCAGTTGTACTTTGATTGGAATTAACTAAGTATGTATATTTTTTCTTATTCATTATCATGATGCACCAATGTTTGGGTTTGTTTTTTATTTATTTTTGTTTTCTGATTATTTCTGTTGTTTTTTGTGACTATTGTCTTTCCATATCCTGTTGATTTCTGTGTGCTGATTGTTGTCATTTGGGTGTTGCCGTACTGGTTTGTTCCATTAGTTTCTTAATCAGCGTTTTGCTTCTGCATGTTGTTCATGTTAACGTTTGTCCTCTCCTTGTGGATCTTTCTCTCTCCGTCTGATTTAATTATTAGATATAAAACTGAAGAAATGAGACAGAAAAACAGTTCAGTGGTTAGTTAATAATAAAGAAATGTTAAAATAATTTCTTCTAATAATAACTGAAAGGATGTTTAACTGATGATAACCTGTTCAGGAATCAATCAGAGGTTATGATCCAGTCCTGGAGGAACGCTGTCTAACCTGAACATCAGTTCGCTGTCGGTCACCGACTTCCTTCTTCTCATTTTCTAATTTCTCATGAATCAGTAACCGGGTTCTGCTAATCATCAGATTAATCGGTCAGGGATTCGTTCGTCCAGAGCAGAACTTTCCTGCATGTTGTCATTTATTAATGACCGAAAACAACAACAGACTTCAGCAGCGCTGCGATCAGTGCAGCTGTTTCTGCTGAACAGATCGTTAAGGTGTCTATGTGTTGATCTTTTCAGAGATCATATAATCCTCCAGTCCAACTATAAATCTAAAGTTATTGAAGTTATTATCTGTCTCTCCATGCAGGAGAAAATCCCTCCTGCTGTTTGGTTGTAAAATGTCTCTGTGCTGCAGCCAGGAACCGTTTTCAAACGGGGGAAACATCTTTTAACTACTCTAACGTTACCTTCACGCCTCTCCAGACAGGAAGTGACACGCCTGCTCACACTGCGAGTTTACACTAATTACCCAGTCTGCCAGAGAGGATCCTGGGAGTTTAACAGAAAACAAAGAGCGACCCGCTTTCCCTCCGGCTGCCTCCTCAATCCCTCGTTACGTCGCCATCTGGCATCAGAGCTTTCATTACAATCACATCCAGGTTTCTGGTCCCGACTCCGTTTTTACTAAAATTATCAATGCATTAATATTGGGAGATTGGCTGATATGTGGGCGGGGCTAATATGTGGGCGGGGCTAACATGTGGGCGGGGCTAACGGTCAAACCTCAGTGCAGAGCAGAAGAGGACAGCCGATCAGATCGGCTTCACATGTATCAGCAGCAGTATCTGAGCCCGGAAATCGGTGCAACCCTGCAGTCTATGTTTTGTTGGGTTTTGTTGGGTCGGACCGGTTCTGCTGGATGGTCATTCTTTGCAGTCATGGCGGATCTTCCTGCAGCTCCCAGCAGAGCATAAACTTTCTAAATTAAACATCTGCAGCTTCATAAGGTAAACCTCAGTGAAGAACAAAGGTGAAAAAAAATAAAAACATTAGCAACACTTTGTTCTGTAAGCGAAAGTGAAGGCCACTAGAGCCAATAAATCTCTAAAACAAAAGTCTTTATTCTATGCAGGAGTTTTAGCAAGTGAACCTCCTGTTATTCAAATGATGAGCTGGAACATGGAAAAGCAGCCATGTTGTTTCAAAGATCAGCTACAAGTTTCTGCTCTTCGTCAAACTCAGGATTCTTCAACGTTTTTCCACCGATGTTTTCTGAACCATTTCGCTGCTCAATCAATTACACAGCGTGGAAAAAAATCACTCAGCTTTTCAGAAAGTGTGTGTTATTGTTCTGGCCCAGGGCGTCTGAAATGTGCCTGTGTGGAAATGAAGCGCTCCCTCCCCAGGAGGAGTCGTCTCTAATCTGAGCAGAGCCTGGAGGAAACCAGCGACGCCTCGCTCTGCTGTTTGTCTGAACTCTGGGATCCAGCAGCGCGTCATGAACGCGTCCTAATGGTTTCTGTAAAGGCCTGAACCTGCCACATCGCATCCAGCAACTATTTTAATCTCATGGGAAGCTGTGGCTTCGCTCTCCAACCATCCAGATTCATACACGGATAATATCAAGATGCATCATGTTAAGAAAAACTGCAACTTCTCCTTCAAACTAACTATGTGGGGGAAAATGTAAACTTTTAATTGAGTTACTTAATTGCATTTCATATTGACAAAATAATTAATATTTTCAATTTAAAAAACATTTTGCTATAAAATTATTGAATATATAACAATAAGAGCAAAACAATAAATATATTTCCAGTTTTTAATCTGCAGGTTCTTCAAGCAAAGTTCATCTTTCCAGAGTTTCTCTGATAATTAATGGAGCTAATATTAGCATTAGCTGCTACATGTTACCATTCAGATGCTACATTAACCTAGCACAGCTTCTGATGGGCAAACTGCTTCCAGCACAACTTGAACTCAACAATAGTCCAATCAGATCACTTAGAAACAGCTTCGCTGCTGTTAGCGGATGTAGCTAAATGTAGCTGTTAGCGGATGTAGCTAAATGTAGCTGTTAGCAGATGTAGCTAAATGTAGCTGTTAGCAGATGTAGCTAAATGTAGCTGTTAGCAGATGTAGCTAAATGTAGCTGTTAGTGGATGTAGCTGTGCGTCAGATTTACAGACGTACCAGAAACATGTGAATATGAAGGGTTCCAGTTTGGGAGTTTTATATGTGGAAAAATGTGTTTAATTGTAAATAAAATCTATGCAATTAATCAAAATTAGTGCATTAATTCCCGGGCCTAGAAAAAAGTTAAACATTTCTTTCTTTGTGTTGTTTTTACATTCACTCCATTTTATTTTGAATCTGGACCAAAGCTGATTGTTTTGTTTGCCGTTTGTAATTTTGTTTGTTTTATTAAGTAAAATTTTTCATGAAAATTAAGATTTTGTATCTGAATGAAACAATGTGTACAGAGTAAAGGTCAAATAAAAAACGAATTAAAAACTGGTACAGAGAACTGCAGCATCATAATATAAAGAATCATTTTAATAAAGAAATTACATCGACAAATAAATGTAAAAACAAAGAAAGATGAGCAATTTTATTCTATACTTTATTTTATTTTACAAGTTCTACTGGAAAAATGTCTTGTTATAAGTTGAACTAGTACTTTTTAATCAATATTAAGGAAAGTTACTTATAAGTTAGTCTTTTTTAGTGTACTCAGATATTTGCTCTAGAATT